TTTTAAAGTGTCCTTTACTGAAGTGTTACCAATGTTTGTGTCTTGTATTTGAAACACACAGGGGCAGGTGGGCAGACAGAGTGACATCACCCTGACTGCCATCTGCTCCCTCGGCACTTTTTTTCAGTTGAGTTTGTGTCTCATTCTTTTGTTTTGTTTTTTTGTTTCGCATGTGCAGTTTTGTAAAGCAAAATCGAGATGCAATCTCTCGCAGGTCTTCAGTCTGCAGCGTTCACTCACCGTGAGTTGTGCTCTCACTTACAATACTTCTCTCCTCTCCTCTCCTCTCCTCTCCTCTCCTCTCCTCTCCTCTCCTCTTCCTATCTCCTCAATGCTTTAATTCTCTCATTGTTTCCCCTCTATCTTTTTATTCATAGCTCATCTCATTGATTTTGTGGTTGATCACAGCATCACTTTTTTAGTAGTAAACAAATGCTTTCATACAGATTCCAATTAATCAACACTTTAATCAACACAAACTTAAATGTTGGCTTCACAGAATGTTGTCTGAAATTAAGAAAAAAAAGAAAATGGGTTAAAAAATGTTTTCGGCTTTATGTATGTTTGAATATTTGCTAGCCTGTTGCAAGAAAGTTGCTTTGGTAGATAGATAGATAGAGAGATAGATAGATAGATAGATAGATAGATAGATAGATAGATAGATAGATAGATAGATAGATAGATAGATAGATAGATAGATAGATAGATAGATAGATAGATAGATAGATAGATAGATAGATAGATAGATAGATAGATAGATGGATAGATGGATGGATGGATGGATGGATGGATGGATGGATGGATAGGTAGATAGATAGATATGATAGATAGATAGATAGATAGATAGATAGATAGATAGATAGATAGATAGATAGATAGATAGATAGATAGATAGATAGATAGATAGATAGATAGATAGATAGATAGATAGATAGATTGGGTCATAACAATTTAAAGACTTTTATTATGCACATTTGAATAAGACATATGTATTGTTCAGAGACATTATACATTCCCTCTTAATTAGTACACAAATTATTATATTCAGTTTTTTTTACACTATTTGTGCTTGGTACTTGGAGCTTGTTATTCCTCCTTTACATGGTCTCCTTTTGTCCTTAGATAGATGTATTATATATGTGACGGCTCAGAGGCCTGCAGCACTTTGATTTTTTATCCTTTTGATAGCGGATAACTTTTCCAATATGAATGAAGGCCAAGCTAAACAGAGCAGTCTGGGTGTGCTGTCTGCAAGCTTCACTGACTATTTGGATCAACAGGCTTTGTAGTGTGTGGGTTTGGGGTTTGTGTGTGTATGTTTCTGCATGCAAGGGATAGAATGGGACTTTTCATCAGAAAACATCATTTGGTGCATTGAAATTATGTTGACATCTACAGGTTTTGTGTTGTTTGTGTGTCAAAATTCCCATTTCTTGTTGCATTTGTCTATTTTTGTGTGTTTTTCTTTCTCACTAGTTGTTCTTCCCCTCTCTCTTGACCTCTTTTCATATAATGTGATTGTTTGTCTTAAACATGTCTGTCATTTTTGTGTGTTGTGCTACCCTGAATGTGTCTCAAAGGAGTTATGTCTACACTCCATGTCGTCGCTTTGTGAGGTATAGTGACACAGCTCAGGATGCTTTTATTATTTTTGTTCAACTTTAGTGATTTTTACCATTAGCACATGCTATTAGCACATCATTAGGGCTTCTGAGTCCCTGTAGTCTCTGTCTCTTCTTAACAATGCATTTGGTGTTGGACGTAAGTGAAATGCATGAGTCAAAGAGCATGAGGTACATATTATACTGAAACTGTATACTGTATAGAAAAACATCTATGCCAACCACTGTTCCACTCGGATGCTTGAGAGCCTGATATTCTTAAAGGGGTAGCTCACCCAAAAGTGACTTTAAAAGTAGGGGAGAGCAGGACACAACCTAACACTTTTTGACTATCTCAGTTTGTGTAAATTCACTTGGGGTTCAGAGTATTTATTTCCCCCCACATTCATTTCACACGTCTAGTACAAATATGGGGGTTTGTTGTTTCATTAATAGAGTGTATACATTTTTCTTGATTTACCCCGAAAGAATGGAAGTGAAACGTGACAACATGCCCCGTAGGTGGGGCACATTGTAACATGTGAGGGGCACATTGTAACATGACCATATGACAGCTTAAAATGCTATCTGATCTAATCAAAAATATATACAAGACGAACTAAAGTATTTTGTCAATAAAATTCAATTATTAACTTTTTCATATAAAATAATGGCATTTTTTAATAATTAAAAACAAACACACCACAAAACAGCTATACAGCATAGTTCAAAACATAATAATAATTAATAATTTCTGAACATTGACTTGACAGCTATACAGCATAGTTCAAAACATAATAATAATTAATAATTTCTGAACATTTTTTCACCTTTTTCTCATGGTTTCTCAATAGAAAGAAAAATAATTAAAAGTATAGAATAGAATAGCATAGTTCTAATAGGGGCACATTGTAACGCAGTGTGACAACATGCCCCACATGTGCAACCGGGATTTAAACCTGGTTAGATCAGCATCAAAGAACTATCTCAATTGCTAAATAACAGATATACGATATAAGAAACACAAAAAACAGAGATGAAAAATTAACTTAAGTAAGAAATTTACTTTTGCTATGGTTAAATAAATGTTCAGTGATATCTTCCAAAGAATTTTTTTTAATTTTGGCGCATTTTTTTCTCTATAAAGTGTTGATTTGGCAACTAGTAAATGCATTAAGTTTCGTCATGCTGGCATGTGTGGAAAGTTTTAAACCATGTGTGTTACAACTAGCCCCGCGTTAGGTTGTGCCCCGCTCACCCCTACCTTTATGAATGAATGAACTGTATGCAAATTACCTCTGTTTTGATGAATACTTTTATAGTATTTGTTAATATTTTAAGTTAACTTTTATTTTTGTACTTTATTTAGTTAGTAAAGTTACTTATTTTAGGTTTCAGTCATTTTGTTGTACATTTGTTGTATATTTCATTTGTTTTTGTTGAAATATTTTCTATATAGCTTTATTTTTATTTCACTTTTAGTTTTAGTTTGACTACTTTACTTACTTTTTTAAGAGCTTCCTGTACCTTCAAGATTTTAAATTAGGCCTACCTCTGTTTTGATTGGCTAATTTCTTTGCATAATTATATACTCTTGTTTAGTCCTTAAAAAACAAACAAAGAATAGCCATTCATGCTGTATTGTTTGCAAACAACATTACTGTTGATCATGTCATCTTATGTCAAACTCATGACATATGATATCATGAAAACTTACTGTGATCGGAGTGATTTTGAGTGGTCGACAGTGGTAGGCTCATGGATGTGGGTGTTATCGGAGTAGGTACATATTGATGTGTGTAATTCAGGCGAATGTTCTCCCGTCCCTCAGTAAAGAGCAGCAGAGGTCACTGCAGAAGATGTCCATATGGGAGCAGCGCACCAACCAGCTGCGCAGACACAATCTGCGCAACAGCAGTGAGGCCCTTTTCAACGAACTAGAGCCCGAAGAGCGTCTGCACATGTCTTCTGCGCTGCATCTGCGGCCCGACATGAAGACCCACCACGATCGGCCTCTGGTGGTGGAACATCGAGACGGCACTGTGGACAATTCCAGGACTGACGGAGATGGGGACAGTAGAGAGTGTCAACCGACAAAGAAGCCCCAACGATGTCGAGGAGAGAACGGAGATGCAGGGGAGGGGCGGCAGCATAGACACCACAGCCGAAACAGAGAGCACCAGGGCGGCCTGGAGCGCAGCAGCAGTCAGGATGGGGGACACATGAACCACATGGGTGGCTCTCCTGAGGAGGGCATAGGGATGGAGGAGAGAGAACACAGACACCACCATTCTCGCCGATCTAGAGAGCTCAACGGGAACGGAAACGGCCCGATCGGTAATGGAGGCAGGGGTGAGAGTAGGGTTCGAGGTCACAAAGAGGGCGAAGGAGGGAATGGAGAGAGGAGGAGACACCGGCCCCGTGTTAAAGCCCAGTCCACACTGGATGGAGAAGAATGCAAGGAGAATGGTGGAAAACGCAGGTATGTTCTCAGACTGTATTGTCAACTGTATGTTCTTCTGAAGAGCACAGACACAAAAAAAAATATTTTGAATATTGTTGGTAACCAATTATTTTCAGTTCCCCTTGACTTCCATTGTATTTATTTGTCCGTATAATGAAAGTCAATGGGAACCAAAACTGTTTTGTCACCAACATTCTTCAAAATATCTTCTTTAATGTTCCACAGAACAAAGAAACCAGTGGCCTTAATGAATAAGGCATCAGCCTTCGGAGCTAAGGGTTGTGGGTTCGAGTCCCATCTGTCTCGTCTGAGACAGCACAGAAAACCAGTGACCATTGTAAAATCTTTCACTTTCTTTGGGGGAAAAAAAAGAAGTTGTGGCCTAATGGTTAGAGAGTCGGACTTGTAACCCGAAGGTCGCAGGTTTGAGTCTCAGTACCGGCAGGAAATGTAGGTGGGGGGAGTGAATGAACAGCGCTCTCTTCCACTCTCATTACCCACAGCTGCGGTGCTCTTGAGCAAGCAAATATGGCTGCCTACTGCTCCGGGTGTGTGTTCAATACTCACTGCTGTGTGTGTGCACTTGGATGGGTGAAATGCAGAGCACAAATTCCGAATTTGGGACACCATACTTGAATACACACGTCACATCACTTTCTTTTCTTTCTTAGAAAGTCATACATGTTTGGAATGACACAAGGGTGAGTAAATGATGAAAGAATTTTCATTTTTGGGTGAACTATCCCTTTAAGCCATAAAAAAAAAAAATCCATTACATTTAGATAACAAAATACTAAAAGTGGAAGTTGCAGAAAAAAAACTACTAGAGCTTTTCTCAAAACTTCACATTGGTGCGCAATTTTTGTAATATCTTTTGGCCAGCTTGTTTCAAGGTGATTTTTTGTGCACGTATGAAGTCAGTTCTCATCAGATTCACACAGGTGTAGCAGAGTTGCCAACATTTTAGTTCATATGAATTACCACAAAGAGTCCAAATACTTTTTTCTTTCAAATGTTTCTCTTGAAAAGTATGCTGTTTTTTTTTTTAAATAAATGAAATTACTTTGATATTTTGTTATATAACGCAGTCTCATTCATCATTTTATGTGAGGCATTTTGAAGCCTTGTACATTCTGAGTAGACTGACATTGAGTATATGATCAGACATGGCATTTGTTGCTACAATTTTATTGTTGCTTTGATGTGCACATACTTTGCAAAGCATTAGGGATCACTTTGAGTTATATTGTGTATGTTGTTGTATATTATTTTGTTCAGATGTATAGCTTTCCAATTATTACAGGGGCAGACCGACAGAAACAGACAGCCTAGCCACCAGCCCTCTCCAGTCTCCTACTGATGAGAAGCCAGAAGTCACGGATAATCTAAAAAACAGCACCAGAGCAGGCCCAACCGGAGTCAACATCCCCGTCACCATAACTGCCCCGCCAGGAGAGACCACAATCATCCCCAGTAAGTATTAGTTTACATGTATCTTTGGATTTAAATAAGCGAATGCATAAGAGTCTATGATTGGATTATTATTCCAGTGATTATTATGTTTCTAGCATATGTTTGGCAACAGTTCTTCTGACCCTAATTGATGAAGTGTGTAGCTTTTCATTTAGGAAAACAAATCATGGCCATATTCCAGGATGACAATGTCTAGATTCATCAGGCTCAAATTGTGAAAGAATGGTTGGGAGGGAGCATGAAGAATCAGACTTTACAGAGTGCTGGATTCTTGCATTGTCAATACAAGATCTTGACAAAAATTTTAGCTAAAAGCTAATGTTGTGATGTTATTTCCATCAAGAAGTGCATCAATTTTTGGTCAAGATCTTGTATAACAGCAGCTTAGACATTATACTAAATGACTACTTTTGTGTTCCACAGAGGAACAAGTGTTTTAAGTGACATGAGGGTAAATAGATTATGAGAAGAAAAAAAAACGATTTATTTTTGTTTGAATTATCTACCTATAGTATTATCCACAAGTATTATCTACTAACTACAGAATATTTATTGAAAAAGCAGCACTGCTTAAAGGGTTACTTCAGGATTTAGCATTAAGCTTTGTATCAGTAGAAAACCAGTAGTATTTTCGAATTACCGTGCTTCCCCCCTTCATATCCCCCTGAGATGAGAGATTTATGTATTTTTAATCTGGAAAAAATCCTCCGATGACGCAAAAATCGTCATTTTGCGTCATCGGAGGATTTTTTGGTCAGAGGCTTAAAACTACAGCAGGTTTGAGCAGCTAGTTCCGCATGTTTTCACCACGCCCATATTGGGCGGGATCTCACTCACAGAACGTAAACATAGTGTCAGCCATCTTTCTGTAGCTAAGCTAACAGGCTCTTGCTCTGTGGAGAAAGTTTGATTAATCACAATGGCGGAAGGTAGTTTTGAAGTAGAAATGGCAGAAGAGGATTTCGAAGATATTTTGAGAGAATCGGATGCTCGCGGCTACCTGTATGAACCGCAATACAGTGATGAACAGTTGCGGTTGATAGAGGAACAAGAGGCGGTCGGAGCAGCTGCTGCAGCAGAGCAGCAAGACCTGCTTGGCGGTCAGGAGGAAGAGCCCGGGCAGACTCGAGCTGGGGCGGACTGGTGGTGTCAGTGCTCTCGATGTGCGCCTATGTTATCAGAGAGAGAGTCCTTGCTGTCGCGAATTTCAGCGATGCCATTTTCTTTTGGAAGAGATCGCTGAATCCGCTGATGAAACGGCATGCGTAACTGAGCACCCTAGTTTTCAACCACATATGGACAGGGGGGTCCTGGAAACCTATTTCAGGATCCCGAAAATAAATTGGAAACGCCAGCCAAAGCCCACAGGGACAAACGGACGGCTAAGTGTAAAGTGAGTATTTTGTTTTTTTACTTTTTGTTACTATGACGACATATAACTTACAGAGTTTGGACACCAGGCAGGTATTATCACAACGTGCTTCCCACGTAACGTTAGTCAGCTGAGCTATTGTTGTTATATTTACATCGTTAGGAATTATACTGTATTTGAAAATAGTTTGCATTGCTAACGTTGTGTTTACTGTTTTGTAGACAATATCGTCTAACAGCCTACCGTCACTTCATGGAATGGGTCCTGCAAGGCGAGAGACTGGGGAAAGGCTATCGTATTGTTTTGCCAACCTGTGTTGTTCAGGACATCAGACGAAGATATCCAGCTCCTGACGGGCAATACAGTGGCTATATAGAAACTGCTGAAGCTCTGGAAGAACTTTGAGTGTAAAAGTGATTTATTATTTATTTATTTTTTCAATTAAAACTTATAACTCACATTGGTTGTGGTTCTTGTTAAAAACCTTTAGAGTTGATACATTAGAGAATGTGTTTGCCTATTATACTACATGGTCCTGCCTTGAATAATCTTTTTAATGTGAAAGTCTAAATTGTGTAATATTCATTAGGCTAACTTTTTTAATCCAAAATAAATTCCAAGAAGGGAAATAATCCAGGTAGTTTGTGTACAGTAAGTAATTACAGCAAAATCAGTGACAGTAACCATTCAGCCTCCCTCCACAAGTCTATAATATAGAAATTGAGTGTACACAGGAGTATAGGGTAAGATGAAGAATTTTTTTTTATTAATATTCACACAAAAATTATTCTGCTGCCATAGTCAAAGGTACATTATTAAAATAAATAAGGAGATACAAAACAAAAAATGTCCTGCAGAATATAAACAAAGGCGAAAATAAATATGTATGTGCCCCCTCTGAACAGAACAGCTGCTGCTGCAAGGAGGTTCACCTCTGGCATTCCCCTAACATCACGGGAAGATTTCCAGGTCCCAGTATGGCCCCCAAGACATGTCCAATCTACCTTCCTCTGTGCACCAACGTCAACAATAGTCTTTGACGAAATTGTATTCCCGCACATCTGGCAAAATTTGAAGAGTGACATGAGGCTTGACTCATTGACAATTATCTTCTTTTCATTCCAGTCCTTTTCACCTTCATCATCTGATGATGATGATGTTGATGTGAGGGTGAAGGTTGACCCAGGTTGATAGCTTTCATCATTTTCACCTAAAGCTTCAATGCTGCTGATGGTGGTATTGAGGCCCCCAGGTGTACTTAGGCATGGTGACTTTAAAAAAAAAAAGATTAAAAAAAAAAAAGTCATACAGTTGCTTTAGAATTCATTTAGAAAGAATATGATGTGAAGTATGTTGGTTATTCAAAAACTTACAAATTGTTCTTGGACTGAGACCGGAAATTTGACCGGAGTTGAGGTCAGCAGGATTTTTTCTTCTTCTTCCAACGACACTAACGCAGCAGACGCAATTGGAGTCTGAAATGACAAGTTCAATAACGTTACATAATATTTCAATAAACTAAAGTTATTCTGAAGTGAAAACAATGCAGGTTTTTTCGTTGCCCAAATAAAAAGGAAATACCTCTAACATATACATATTGAGATTTCTGACCGACATAAGTGTCAATTTTATTTTTAAGCTTACATTAATTAACACTATTTTGTTCTAGTCTGCACTACATCAGGGGTTCATCTCGCAAATGTATCTGTTTCTGCAGTCATCTCCAAACATACAGCAACTTGCTTGTGTGGTAACGTTAGCATAAATAGACTAACACAGTTTTACAGAACTGTGGCTTTACTTTGATAACAGTCAACTAATATGTAATTATCTATCTAACGTCACTTTGCTAACTTTCCTGTTTTACTGCTAACAACTACAACACTATATGTAGGCTACTGTGTGATCAGAAACAGAGTCGAGTATTAGCGAGTCTTACCTCTAGGCGAATGCGTTTAGTACCAGAAGGCCCAGGCTGTTCGTCATCTGGAAATCTGAATATCGACGGGATTGCGGTGTCCTTCAGAGTGGTTCTCTTAATTCCAAGGACATTCGTTTCGTAGTCTTCCTGCTTGAAATGGCGACTGCAAATCCTACGGGTTTTCAGGTTTTCCATATCGGTGTCCTCGCCAAACTTCGGGTGGTTGATAGCCCGCAGCCATTGTTTACATCGCTCTAAATGTTTTATCGGAAAATGATGGAAACTTACTTCTTGTCCTTTCCTGGTTTTGTTTGTACATCCCGGTACAACGCAACTTAACACCATTTCGATGGAAATGTATCTAATTCACGATTTATAGAGTCACGATGTAACAAAGCAAGCCTAGTTGGATCAAACTTTTCGGATACTGCCGCCTGTAACCGGTAGGCGTGGTTTGGGAGTGGCCTCGTAAGGGCAGCAAACCAAGTGCATTCTGGGAGTTGTTGTCTTTCATACACATGAGTCAAAAATACATTTTCTGGCTTTTCTCAGTCTAGAAAACTCCAAATTCAAAAATAATTTCACATTTCTACTATATAAATGACCAATATTAAATACACATTCATGTTCCCAGAGCTGAAGTATCCCTTTAAAAGAAGGCAGTGTTGAATGTTTATTTGCCACTTGTGACATTGCCTCCTCATCTTTGCTCTAATGATTATCTGTTTGACAGTGAACAACATTGATGGTGACAGTCTTCTGCTGAACGAGGAAAAGAAGGATCTTGATGAGCTAAATCAGAATGCGCCCAAACACATTCTGCCATACAGCTCCATGTTTGTGTTTGGTCCAACTAACCCGTGAGACTAACCCCAAACACTATATGTTCTAGCACAGTCTTCAGGAGAAACATGAAATGTGCATCACATATATTACCTGCATAGAACTGCTGTAAATAAACATTTAGAGTTCGATGTACCTTCTGAATAGTGTGAATAAGTGTTGTGTTTTCATGTTGCCTCTGTAGAGTGAGACGGCTGTGTCATTATGTGGTGAACCTGAGGTATTTTGAGATGTGTATCCTCACAGTCATCACCATGAGCAGCATCGCTCTCGCTGCTGAAGACCCTGTGCAGGCCAATGCCCCCCGCAATGACGTAAGACACACAGACCCACTTGCAAATGTCAAGAAATGCAAAAAAAAACAAAAGACCTGAAAAAGATCTCATTGTCACTGTCTTTCGTTGTAAGCTGGGGTTATGACATCAGTGGTGTTTACATAACTCAAGTCCAGTCCTGTAGGGCAGTATGGCAGCTCTAGTCTGAAATGTCATGCTGAGCATTGTCACTAGCCCATCTGACTGGCTTTTGCACCATTTTTTTTTCCGGGAAAGCCTAGGAGAAGACTTAAGCGTCTAGTGCGACTGCATTAGCCCATAAACGTAGCAGTGCTCTCTGAATTACAGTGAATTACATGTACACATGTCTTCAAGAATCCCATTGTCCACTGTTTTCTCTGTAATTGATACATTGAGCGTGATCGGCTTGTCTGATGAATCTCTGCTTTCACACAATATTCCCCAACTGCTCATGTGGGAGGAATGAAAGGCTGGAAAAAATTGAGTGTTTATTCAAAACATCTATTGTTGTCTCTCAGAAAAATACATTGTACATCATGTCTGTTCTGTTTTGAAGACTATTGAATTACTCGCTGAATCATAGCTGCAGTGGGGCCTAACACTATGGTTTACACAGATTTATTTTCAGTATTTATGGCATCATATGCTTTCTCTTGCTCATATGGTCTGTGGGACTGCAGAAATAGGAAGAAAATTACTTCTTATTTCTAGCACTCACACTGTTTTGTGGTTCCCTCAGGTGCTGAAATATCTAGATTACGTCTTCACTGGTGTGTTCACATTTGAGATGGTTATAAAGGTAAATAAAACCTCCTTGTCAGTGTCATTGACGCAAGAATGCATTTTTATTTTTTGCTGTATTAAATTTTATATATATATATTCTTATAAATACACTCTTAAAAATACATTATATATATATATATATATATATATATATATATATATTATATTATATTATATTATATTATATTATATTATATTATATTTTAAATAATTTTTATTTTATTTACACTACCCTTCCCTGTTTGGATTTATTCATGTTCATCTTTAAAGAAGCCTCTTATGCTCACCAAAGCTGCATTTAATTGACCAAAAAACAGTAAAAAATTTAAAGAACAGATTTCTATTTTAATATATTTTAAAATGTAATTTATTCCTGTGATGCAAAGCTGAATTTTCAGCGTCATTACTCCAGTCTTCAGTGTCACATGATCCTTCAGGAATCATTCTAATATGCTGATTTGCTGCTCAAGAAACATTTCTTATAATTATCAATTTTGAAAACCGTTGTACTGCTTAATATTTTTGTTGAAACCCTGACACTTTTTCTTCAGGATTCTTTGATGAATAGAAAGTTCAAAAGAACAGCATTTATTTGGTAACATTATAAATGTCTTTACTGTCACTTCTGATCAATTTAAATGCGTCCTTGCTTGAATATAACTATTCATTCCTTCCTTCTAGATGATTGATCTTGGGCTGCTGTTGCATCCTGGGTCTTACTTCAGGGACCTGTGGAACATACTGGACTTCATCGTAGTCAGCGGCGCTCTGGTGGCCTTCGCCTGCTCGTGAGTGGCTTTTTTTGTAATTCTGTCAGAGCGGAGCAGAGACGAGCACACTGTCAGTTCAAATCCAGCAAGAGAGCATTCAGTCGAAAATGACAGAAACAGGATGTGACTGCTCACTGTTTAGTTTCTGGTGTGAGATGAAGCTTTGTGATGAGGGGAAGTGTGGCATCTGTGTGCAGTTTAGGTCTTAGGAACTGATCGGTTTAACGTGCATCTGTTTTTTTTAGCTCATAATGGGATCGTGTGCAGCGCGCACACCTGTGCTAATGGTTCGGATTTAGCATTTCCCACAGGATCTGAGCCAGACAGTTGCAGAGAGGACCAATGGTTTTCCAATGGTTTACCAATTTACCAATGGTTTTCCTTTAAGGCTACGTCTACATTCATTCGGATACATTTAAAAAAACAACGTTTTCGTTTCAAAACACTCCGTCCACACTAGCGTTTTCAAGTGTTTTCCAAAAGGTTTTCATCTACACTGAAACCACGTCGGAAAAGGCTAAATTCACTTTACTGTGCATGCGTAAACCCTCAGAAAAGCTCACTGAGATGATACAGACGGAACAGACATGATAAAGTTGCAGGATAATTTTATTTAGCAAAATATCTCAGCATTCACTGATGCGTTCAGGTCGCACTCAATCACCATTATATTTATGGTAATTTATACACCATTATGTTTGGTCTAAAACGCAACTGCGATATGAGTGTACAGAGTAACATATCTTTAGCAACAGTGTGAAAGTGAATTGCACATAACAGGTGCTCAATATGCGTCACATGACTAAACGTGTCATCCATTCTCATAGTCCACACTACAACGTGAAAATGGTGTTTTCAAATTCATCCACTTGGGAAAGTTTTCAAACAGCTCAGTTTCTGCAGGACAAAACGCTGTATCAGTGTGGACGGAAGGGACAGAGAGAAAAAGATGCGTTTTTAAACTAAAATGTATTAGTGTGGACAAGGCCTTATTCTTATTGTTCCTGAGCCACCAATGATAATTAGTAATGATTTCCTTAGTGTGCTATTACTCTTCTAATTAATTGAATTTAAAAATTTCATTTGATGGATGATAAAGCGGCAATACAATCCCCTAGACTCACAATGATTTAGGTGCCTAGTAACCACCTAAGGCACAAGTTACCCTAGCAACCACATTGCAACACGCTAACAACCAGTCAGAAAATTTTGCAAGCATATAGCCATGGCAACCACCGTGACATCACGACGGCATGAGTTTTTCATAGCCGAGAGCCAACATTATGTAGTTTATGAACCCAGTCGGGTACAGATTTCTCTACAAGGCAAACATAAACGCACACACACACATTTGGTTTGACAGTGCGTGTGTGATTTGTGTAATGAATCCAAGGTCTATTGTGGCTGAATCTTCTTAGTCGTCATGTGCAGATGCTCAGCTGTCTCTCGATCTCCACCTCTGCATTTAACAGAGAGACCATGGGGTGCTTTAAAATAGCTGAAAAAGAGGTGAGAGAAAACTGCTCCGCTTTTGAGACCAGACATTTTGTGTGAGTTTGCAGCTGTATTATTCAGTAGTGCAGAAATTCTCCACCAGCTCCGACTGGCACCTGTGCTTATGATGGTGGTACTACAGCATATTTACCGTGATTTTGCCAAGATAGACACACGTTCCTGGATCCTAAATATACTTCTAACCATATACCCACCCCTAAACCTAACCCTATCAATAACTTATCCCTAAAATCAGAGGGAAATAATACGTGAATATCACTGATGTAGAAGCACTTTAACCTGGTTTCTTTCAAGCCTAAACCTGACATAAACTGTAAACTTGTCCCTCAAATCTAATTGATTGATTGGAATGTTGTTCCATGATCAACAAAGATGTTGATCCAGGAACATGTTGTACTTGGAGAAATCACGTTCACCAAGAGTTTCTTTAGCTACGGACACTTTTGCCCCTGTGGATTTACAAAACACACTATTTTTTATTATTCTACTTTATTTACATTGTTAGTAAAAAAATAAAATAAACTAATGTCCAGCAGTAGTTTCGCTTGCACCATAAAATAATGCTGCCGTTTTTGTCATTTATTTCTGGAAATCATAAGCATTTCTACAACAGTGTCATTTCCAACAAATCTAAAATGATGTATTGGTTTTATTAGGATTATATGTTGGAAATTACATTTAAAACATTTTTGCAATAAAATAACGACTCCTTTGTCTTGCTAAATCAAATTGATCTATTTTGATACACAAATGCAAATAATATTTGGTTACACTTTATTTTAAGGTGACATTACATTGTACTCACTCAGATAAGTACTGAGTAATATTAATTAACAACATGTACTTCTTATAGAGTTACGGTTAGGGTTGGTTTTATGATTAGTTACTTGCAATTATGCTCAATTTACTGTTATTACTATAGTAAGAACATGTAGTAACGTGTAACTACATCACCTTAAAATAAAGTGTTACCTTATATTTTCACATTTTCTGCATAATTAAAAAAAAAATCCAATTAGATCAGAAATGGCACATAATTAAAATAGTAAAAACCCTAAAACTGAAAACATTATTAGGTTGGTCATGTGAAATGGCACCAGAACTGAGGGATGATTAGGTTTCAATTAATACAATATTTACAAATATATAATTCATTTGATGATGGATTTTCATATTGTAAGATTAAAATGTTGCTGGTAACTGTAAAACAATACGTTCTGTACATAAAAGGTATTTGATAGTGAGAAATGATGAAGGACTGATAAAACCAAGATGGTTCTAGTGTGACCTTCATTCATATAATATAGCAAAAAATAAATAAAACGTGTTAGTTTTAATAAAAAACCAACCCCTAGGACATAAAAGTGCCTGTAGTTGAAGAAAGATAAATTTAGGGCAGTATTAGCTCTGGTTTCAGTGCACTGTTGTACAGCGAATATAAATGTATCTCATATACTGTGTTTTGCTCTTTCTGATACTCCTGTGCTTGTTTCTCTTAAACTGTGCTGTAATCTTCTTTTCTCTCCTGTGCTGTTCTTCAGTGGTTTGTGTCCTGTGGGTTTTAATGTTTCTCATTCAGCTCCTTCTTTCTCCATCCATCTTTCTTTCTCTTTCTGTCTCTCTCTTTCTCGCTTTCTTGATCTGCCCTGTCTTTCCTTTTCGCTTGCGTTGCTTTCAGGAGCTTCATGGGGTACGCATTTGTTATTACCTGCTTCATGTTAATCTGCCTGACTATTAGTGTGTGTTTGTGTGGATAAGGAATCGGTAGACCAGTGCAAGACATTCACAACTGGACATAAGCAGTGTCTAAAATGAATTTTTAAACTCAATACACCTCAGCAAGTAAATAAAACGTCACTCACAGTTCGGTAAATTTATAAGGAAGCCCAACATAATAAATTTTTTAAATCGAATTTTAAGAAAGACTGAATGATACTTGCTGCTATACAGTAAGTGATGTGAGCAAATCAGATGAAAGACATTACAACCATCTACTAAAGAAAACATCTGTTGCGACATATTAAGCCACCATAAAGAAAATATAGAGAAATAAAGAAAAGAGTTTGTATTTTTTTTTAAAGAAAAAGATAAATGATGAGTCCCCGTTACTGGCAGCAATCGGTCATGAAAACTAGGATTGGTTTTGAATGAATTAAAAAAGACTAAAGGCGTTTACACAAAGTGCAATAAAATGATCCATTTTACTTTTACTTGCTGTACACAATCAGCATCCATTACCAGGAGTTGCATGAACCTCTAGCACATGCATGAATTTTTTTATAGTGTGTGTGGGTGTGTATATGTGATATATGCAGGTCTGTGAGCTTTTCACATTTGTGATATTTATTCCATGTTTCGATGCCTCTATATTTACTGCTGAGTGTGATTTATCTTGCAGAGATGTTACAAACAAACAGTAACTAATAATCCCCCATTGCATCATGTCTTTGATTAATGTAATGTTTTATTGTGCACTAGAGTTGCTTCGATGCTTTTTTTAATCTTTCTTTGCTGTTCGTCCTTCCGCCGTGTTTCCGCTCAGTGACAGCTCTCTTCCGTTCTGATCTCATTTAATCTCTTCATGCTGATCTGCATTTACTGCTTCTTCTGTGTCTGTGACGCGGCTTATTATGTGTGTGTTTCTGTGTTTGTGCACATGTGCATGGTTTTTCATCGGTTTCCCTCGTCAGATCACAGCAAAGCGTTACCAGGTGGGGACAGTCTATATATCTATAAAAACATACCCTTTACCCCCCCCAACCTTCCCACGGACCACTCCAAACTCACCACCCTTCGACTTTTCCTCTCATTCAGCCTTTGTGGAAGGGGATGGACCAACTCTTTCCCAATTACATGACCTTCGACCTTTTGCAAGGGCTTATAGAAACTACTACTCCTACTGTTTCCAGAGGACAGCCACCCCTTATGATAATGGTCAAACAGAAGCTGAATTAATTCTGATTATTGCTGTTAAATGATTGCATAAACTGAACATCTGCTACATACATATCAAAAGAAGTTCTATAACCAACTTGTTTTGAATATGGATAAGCAGATGGATGTTTTTACTGTCTTTGTATTTTAGAAGCTAGTTGATGGCATATCGTTCTAAAATGACCTTCATATTTGCTCATATTCCTTCACTAAACATTTGTGGATAAAACTCATCTGGATGCCTTTAAATATCAAATATCTGGATAATATTTACACCCCCCCCCCCCCCACATTTTTTTATTATTTACCATTTATTATTTACCCCCCACCTCAAACAATTACATGGTGAAAATGTATGTCGTCACCAAAAATGTAATCATACTTTCAATATAATTTCTTGTTTTTTTTATTTTATTTTATTTTTATTTTGGGGTTAAATTTGACCCCGATTTGCTCTTGTATCATGGTGCATCACATAGCTTTATCCGGTCACATACATTATGCAGAATCAGTTCAGCACTGGACCTCTTTTGTGCTGGGTGGTTGGAGATACTCCTATGGAATCTATGGGAGTATAGTTGACTGTCTCATTAAGCAGAGATCCACATGCACCCATGGGGGGGGGGTGTGTGTGTATGAATGACAGACATTGCATGGACATTGCATGCCAGTGTGATAGAGACCCAACTCCTCATGGGAGAGAAAAAGTAAGCAGACCAATCACAGAGCTAAGCTATGACTCCCTAAACCCACTCTTTTTAGTATCCGGAAGCATGTGCTTATTTGTAATGCAGAGCATTTGAAGTTTGTATTTTGAATGATGAATGTAAAGAAAATAATGAAAAGCTCATCTTAGTGAACTTTCAACTGTCAAGGAAACATCTCACCGGTCAGAAAGGACTCAGCCTTTTTGGTTTAAACAAGGTTCAAATTGAGGTCATTCTTGTGTTTAGACATGGCTGCTGAAGTTTAGAGTAAAAGTTTTTAAATAGCCTTTTCTTATCTTTTCAGGTGAGTTCCCTTCTTTTGAACTGTGTAATTTCACCTGTCATTCAGTGTGAATCTACCAGCTGTAACATTCAGAGAATGAATTGTTCAGTGTGGCATTGATGTTTTAACTTCAAGTCAATCCTGAAAACAGTTAAACTGAATGGAACTCAAACATTAAAGCGACATTCATTATTAAGACTTTAAAAGGGTTTATTTTCTGTTCAATACATTTCATTAGTGGTTCATCATTGTTATGATTTCTCATATAAAAAAATAAAATAAAAAAAAGGTATTTATTTTCACTGTAGCTTTAGAATTCATGACTTTTGCCTGGTGGATTATAAAAACAACCCCGAAAAACTTGCAGTAAATAATGCACCTGAACCATATTTAGAGACCGCAGGGGCCATTTCCTAATAACACATCAATGTATTTCGGATTCGAATTAGGCCAATTTTTTTTTTTATGTGAATAATTTTTATGACCAGTTATGACCAGTCTTAAAGAAAGAAATTAGATGACTTGTATGATGAATCTTAGAAGTTTATGCAACTGGCCACAGAACATCATAGAGATTCGGGTGTCTTTTGGCTTAGGCCAGTAAATAACCACTAGCAATCTAATAACAACTCCCACAACATCCTAGCAACATGGCGGCATCAGCATCAGAATATGACTTGGCCAACTGTGGTTTTTACAAAGAGACCATTCCTGCTGAATGGATTGTTTCTTTGTATCTTTTTCTGGTAAATGAGTGTTATTCTACAGAAATATTACATGTTAAATTATATTTATTGTCATGCTCAGAGGTAGGTTTGTTTCTGTAGAATAACCTCCCCTTAAAGGCATGCTTTCTACTAACCAAATGACCTCTAGCTAATGTAATTCTGAATTACATGATGGGCTGGAGGAAGTGATTAGCTCATGAAAATGTAATTGAATTAAGGCTTTGTGCATGTGCTGGCAGATGACATCAAAATGCATGTTAAAATGTGTGAATGCAAGCGTCTTCAAATGTCTCTAAGTCATTGCTTTTTCCTTACAGAGGGACTAAAGGCAAGGACATCAACACCATCAAGTCCCTAAGGGTCCTTCGAGTCCTGAGGCCCTTAAAGACCATCAAACGTTTGCCCAAACTCAAGGTAATGTCCCTGCTTAGCTCTTATCTTACTCCTGAGAGGATGCAAGTGGAATTATGGGGTTTTAGGTTTAAATGACAAGATCAGATCCACCAGTGAAAGATTATCATTCGTTAAAACTCATAGAGGGTCTATCAGTTGAGGTGTATACAGGGATATTGAGAGGCATTGATAAAAAAGATGCTAACGATAGCGTTTTCCATGCTGTTGTTGTTATATTTTGGTATTTGAAATAAAGCTTAAATGACTCCTAATTTAAAATGAAAAGTGGAAGCGAATTTAAAATATTTGTAATTACTATAACAGTATGTATAATAATACTAAAATAACATGCTCGCAGAATAAACCGTTTTTGATTCAAAGACCTGATAAGGCAATCATAAAGATTTTGAGCGTAATTGATAACACGTGCTTAATAACTTTGCACACTTTATAATGTGACCTTGTATATGTGTAGTTTTACGGTAATATGGAAAATTAAATTAAATGCAATAAATGCAGGATATTGAAGTTAACAATGCACTTAAAAATATTTTTAGCACCCCATCTGGGGCCTCATTTATAACCGTTGCGTACGCACAAAACAGGCCCTGAAAGAGGCGTACGCCACTTCCCACGCATAAGTTGTGATTTATAAAAAACAAACTTGACGGAAAAATTTGCGCACCTGCACGCAAACTCTGACCCATGCGTACGAACGTTTTGGAGATGGAGCAGTTTGGCGACACCGATGGTGAGCTGGAGTTAAATGTCTTTTTGGTCACTTTTAGACAGAAAATCTAAAGAAAATTATACATAGGCTATACAGAAAGATAATACAAAAATAATTTCACTCACCAAGCATATCACTTGAGGCAAATATTGATCCCTTCTTAAATGTCCGCGCCAGCGAGCGCGTTGTGCCGTTTAGTGAAACTAACGCCTATCTAACGACAGAGTCCTAATCATAAAAACAGTGCATGTTCACAATAACAGTTTAAATAAATAAAAAAATGATTTAAACTGTTTTACTTCTGATATAAACATTTAGATTAAATATGCCTTTGTCATTGATGGAGTTAAACACTTAAACATGAAATCATTACTGAGAAGTTACAACATTTTTTATATTCAATAAATATAAATATTTGTTGTGGATGCAATGCTTTTGAACACTTTTCCTCTGGCATGCTGTGTTTTAATGTTTTAACTAAAGAGATAATTGCTTATAGCAGATTGTCTGAGAAAATAGTTTCTTGCAAATAATGCACAACAGTCTATCTGTTTCCATTAAAAATATAAATCAATAAAAAAAATACTATTTGGTCAGTGGAAAAGATTGTGAAAACTTTCTCTGAAATGTATTTTACACTATTTGATTTATTTATTCAAAAACAAGGCAAGGATAGGCTACTAAATTATTTTTATTAATGTAGGCTAATGTGACGGCACATCTGTATTAGGCTATTTATATTTTCCTAATGTCTTGGACCGTTAAACATGTTATCACGTGGATAAATAATCATATGCAAATGATATGCAGATGAGGATATGGATAGTAAACCCTGAGTAAAACTAGGCGTTGTAAGCTCCATATATGGTTATTTCGGGGAGGAGACGCGTGTGCGCACAATCTTCCGCTGACTGAGATTTATAAAGTGAATTCTGCGCAGGTTCTGGCAGGTTCAGGTCATTTTTGGCTTTCGGGCGCACGTACACTTTTAGTAAGGATCCAATGCACAGTTTTATAAATGAGGCCCCTGAACTGTTAGGCAAGAACAAAAAAAATCTGAAGCTGCCACTGTGTGATATTGTGCTTGTTTGTGTGAATATTTTGCAGGCAGGGATGCCCCTTGTGTAGCCCTCGACATTAACAGCCTTGTCGCATCTTTCTCTCTAATCAAATCACACACTTAGGCACACAAACAAATCGTTTTAGAGACACTTACTGTTATCTCATTACATGGCTACATTATACATTTAAACTAACATTTCACACCATCATTTATTCATTTGTCTGAAGATTCATCACCGGTGGCATTAAAATAAATAATAGACTAACAACTAAAACTGCAGGTTTTATTTAGGTTAGTTGCTATTCTAATGCACAGATAAAGCCTCACAGGGCCACAGAGACATTTATCCTGCCTACAGAGATCTTATTAGCATTAATGGTGAAAAATATATACTACTCAGTGCTAATAATGATACCCTAAGGAAATTAAACAAGCAGAAATGACAGAAAAATGAGTAGATTTACACATCCCCCCCCCACTCTCATTTTATCCTCAGCCTTAGTGCAATCATGTGATTATCTAGAGCAAGAGGAGCAGTAATCAATTAAGTCACAGCCTAAAGTTGTGTGCTTTCACAAAGGCCTTGTGACTTTAACACACAGCGACACATTCTACACAGATGGATTTAATGAAAGTGTGCATTATGTCTGCATGTGGCAGTGAGGCTGTCCACTGTTTGCAGGAGATTTGATTTGTGCCGTTTGTGTGTCTCTAGGCCGTGTTTGACTGCGTAGTGAACTCTCTGAAGAATGTGCTCAACATCCTCATCGTTTACATCCTCTTCATGTTCATCTTCGCCGTCATTGCTGTGCAGCTTTTCAAGGGGAAGTTTTTTCACTGCACCGATGAGTCCAAAGCCCTGGAGAAGGACTGCAGGTACGGCTGTGCTCTGGCTGGACTGTCTGGATATATTCTACATGGATGGATAGATGGATGGAGGGAAGAGAAAGAGGGGATGGAGAGAGGAGGATGAAAGTGAAAGTAGAGAGATGGAAAGGATGAGGGAAGGAAGGTTGTCAGGCAGAAAGGAAAATCTAAAGGTAAAAAGAAAAGTAATTGTGAAGTAGTGTTATTTTAGTATGCTTTATATACTAGTATAGTTATTTGATTTATATTATCATCTTTATTTAAATTAAATTTTTAGTAATTGTGTTGGGAAGAGAAAGAGTGGATGGAGAGAGGAGGATGAAAGTGAAAGTAAAAAAGATGGAGAGGGAGGAAATGGAATGAAGGTTTTCAGGCAGAAAGGAAAATCAAAAGGTGAAAAGGAAGTGTGAAGTAGTTTTATATACTAGTATAGTTATTTGAATTAATTTAAATCACATTTTTAGTAATTGTGTTGATCTTAAATATTACTGTTTAAGTTTAATTAATTTATTTTTCTGTCTTAGTTCAGTAATAGTTTGTATTTATTTTTCAAGCTTGTAATTTTAGTGGTTCAACTTAAACTTATTTCAGTTAGTTGCCAATGGAACATTTCAATATATTCATCTAATATTTATATTTTATTTTTTCAGCCTTATGAACTACAATATTTTAGTTAACGAATAATAACCCTGGCACAAAGGAACTAGAGCGAACGAAAGAGGAAAAGGAAAGGGAAGGAAGAGCAAAGGAAGGATGGAAAGACGAAGGGTAAAAAGGAAATGAAATGAAGAGCGAATGAATAGAAAGGATAGGAAGGACAAAAAGACAAAAGATGGAAAGGAAGAATGAAGGAATGGAAGGAAGAGTGAAGGTAGGCAGGCAGAAAGGAAGGAAATACAAAAGGTAAAAAGGAAAGGAAGAGCGAAGGAATGGAAAGAAGGAAGAGCAAATGTAGGGAGCGGGGAAAGAAAAACGAAAGGTAAAACGGAAAGGACGAGCGAAGGAAGGAAGGAAGGAAGGAAGGAAGGAAGGAAGGAAGGAAGGAAGGAAGGAAGGAAGGAAGGAAGGAAGGAAGGAAGGAAGGAAGGAAGGAAGGAAGGAGGATGGAAAAGAAGAGGAAAGAAAGGATGAAAGTGAGGGAAAAAAGGAAAAGGGACAGAAGGAAGAAAATAAATTAGGAAGGAAGAATGTAAAAAGAGGAAGAAGCAGAGGAAGTGGGAAAAAGGAAAGGAAGGATTCAAAGCAGGAAGTAAATGAAGATAAAGGAAGAGTTTGTGGTGGATTGTTCTGTCTGCACTCAGGGGGCAGTTCCTGGAGTACGGCAGTGATGGAGTGGCCTTGACGCAGCCGCGCGAGTGGAAGAAGTATGATTTCCATTATGACAACGTCCTGTGGGCCTTTCTGACCCTGTTCACTGTCTCTACAGGAGAGGGCTGGCCAACGTGAGTCCTCCTCATCACTCACACAAACACATCATACTGAGACACTGTTGCTTTTCTTACTCTAATCTCTTTCTCCTTTTACTCTATTCTGATCAAGTTTCTCGTCTTGCTCAACTCTCTGGCGTAATCTGTGTTTTTACTTTTAATTCCATAGAAAAATACATACTTGGTTGAGAGAAAGAAACTCAAGCGTTGCATCAAGAAAATCCAGAAAGTTTTTTATATTAACTTAAATCCCTCTTTAACATTCAAGTGTTGCCTCTAGTACTCTGAGTTTTAATGGACATGGACATGTTATCTTAACCACTGTATGGGACTGTATATAAACACCTTTTCCCTCTCTACTGCTCTAAGCTGATATTTTCGGTCTGTTTTTAAATATATACTTGAATGCTTTAAAATGTTCATGTCTTTTTTGTTAGACTTTTTGCCTTTTTTTAGAGGGACAATCAGAAAAGGGAGAGGAAGCAAAGGGGATAAAATTCGACAGCAAATAGCGCTGAAACTAAATATGTATTAAATTTATATTTTGAACTTTTAGTGTTAGTCCAGTTTTGAATTAACCTTAACTATTTGATGCATGAATTATTACATAATTTAAGGATGTTACATTATTATTTTTAATGGAATTTTGCAGTGTTTATTATAAAAGATGTATCCATGCGAATCATTATTATTATAAAAAAAAAAAATCAAGTAATTTCACTCCGGTATATACGTCACAATAGATAAGAAAATACGACCGCAATTCCCATTTCCTGCCGACTTTGTTTCTTTTACTTTAAAACAAATCTTTTCATTATTGTAATGTATATGTTCCCTCGTTTGAACCTTTTGTTGTTTTATGTGATCATCTTGCTGACATTCTCCCTGTGGTTCTGTAGAGTGCTGAAACATTCTGTAGATGCCACATTTGAAGACCAAGGTCCCAGTCCGGGTTATCGCATGGAAACCTCCATCTTCTACGTGGTCTACTTTATCGTCTTCCCCTTCTTCTTTGTCAACATCTTTGTGGCTTTGATCATAATCACGTTCCAGGAGCAGGGAGATAAAGCCATGTCAGAGTGCAGCTTGGAAAAGAACGAGGTAGGATGGGGCGGTTGGAAGCCTGCATAGTCAGTTACAATCAACCGTGAACGGATGAGTAGATGGGGGGGAGGGTAAACTGTAGACACAAATCAGTGTCGCTTAAAATGGAGTTTCAGTGTATATGCAAATAAGGGCAAAGTCGTTGTTTTATAAATGCATGGACAGTTTTGAGATGCCTGGAGGAGAAGCACTCTTAAGAGAATTCCTCTCACCTGTGTGAGGCCAGCGCACCTGTCCGTCTACATCTCTACTACCTTGAGTCTTAGCTCTTTTGACAAACACATGCTCACACACACAAAGCACAGAACTAAACCCCAGGAGGAACTACTAGACCAGTCAGGCAGAACTCTTTCAACTGAGTTGAAAACTCTGGCTCTGTTCTAAAACATATTAAGCTGCATTGTTGCCTGCTGTCTACTAAGGCAGCATTCAAACAGTTATTAGTCCTCATAAATAACTGTTCTGAAGCACTCGATATAAGCATAGTTGCTACCTTGCTGGAAAAATAAAACGCTGATCAGGCATTTAGCTGGGCATCCAGATGTTCTCCTTGCCCAATTAGCTGAAAAGTGTCCGAAATCTCTTAAAACCAGCCAACAGTCCAGTCTATTCAGCCTAGGAGACCAGCTAAGACCAGGCTGGTTTAAGATGTTTTTTAGCAGTTGTAATTACTGTATATATATATATATATATATATATATATATACGGTTTGTGAAAATATTAATATTACAATTAGAAAATGTTGAAAACTTGTGAAATAGTTTCATTTATCATATTTTGTTTTATTTTTGTAATGTGTTTTTGTAAAGTCCTAATTTTGTTATAATATAATACTGTTTTGAGCTGTTTGCTATTTGCAGTGGTTACTAGTATTTACTTTTTTCATAGTGTGCTTTTTAGTCAATTGTACTAAAAGCCTATTAGGGTCAGTTTGACCGGCGAACAGCACAATTATTAATTATAATAACAATATATGAAACCCACAATATTTAGAAAACAAAAACATACTCAATATATTGTCCCAGTTTTTTAATTAATAGATAATTACGAGTAAGCTTTCGATGAAATTTTGACCACTGAAGTAGGAAATGTCCCCTATTTCAGAAATCTGGTCATGTTATTACTGTATATGTTTCTATGGACTACATTTTAGATTTTTTTCCCCCCAACTGAGCTCATTGCAGTAAATTCTGTTAATGTGTCATTCGAATTTGAACAAAAATCTTAAAAGGCAGCATGATTATGCAACACTAGGTTTTGGAATGGAGCAATAATCTATTTCTTCTTTTTCTCGTTTTTTTCTGGTTTCTTTATACAGTATTTGTCTCTGATCTGTATCTATATATTCTCTCAGATGAATTATTAGCCTGTGTTTAAATATTTAACTGAGCACTGTTCATATTTGTGCTGCTGGTTTGATGTTTGTCTACAAGCACTCATTAGTTCTTTCATTCGTTTGATTTAGAGAGCTCCGAGAATACCAATGCTGTTCTAATAATCAAACATGGATAGATCAGCGTGATGAGTAGTTTTAAGCTTGTAGATATTCACATCCACATTTTGCTGAATAACTCTTGTTGAGATAAGTGCGCTTTCATCAACAGCGAGCTTGTATCGACTTTGCCATCAACGCCAAACCTCTGACCCGCTACATGCCGCAGGACAAGCAGTCTTACCAGTACAAGATGTGGAAGTTTGTGGTGTCCACTCCGTTTGAGTACTCCATCCTGACCATGATCGCCATCAACACGGTGGTCCTCATGATGAAGGTAAAACTGTTGTCATTTTCAGGCTAAGTTAGTCAGTGTCTCACTAGTGTCCCACTTGGTGTTCTTTAATTTATTATCCTTTTTTCTCCTAATAAATATTTAGTAATCATCATAAATTAGATGTCATTCGAAAGCTTAATGAAAGCTTAAGCTTAGCAGATTCCTCCCCCTATAGGCAGCGTTGTTTCGCATTTTACAAAATTTACTGCACTATTTTGTAATCAAATGTTTTTCTAATCTTAACAAAACACATATCGTTGGAAAGGTCTGAAACTCAAGGTTTCACATTTGGCCACTTTTTTGTGATAGAAGTGATATTGTGGCAGAAATGTATTAATTTATGTCAGTAGAGCACATCAAAGAATTTCAGTGGAGTGTTAGTTTCATCTTGTTTTTGGTATAGTACCTGAACAAATTCTTACAGCAGCCTACATTTTTGTGATATCAACTTCAAAATTGGACCTCAACTTGTTTAGACATATGGCCTAGGTTTGGTTTCTAGCAAGTCCAAATATATAAAATATATATATATTATATATATAATATAATATATTATATATATAAAATATAAATACACTCACCGGCCACTTTATTAGGTACACCTGTCCAACTGCTCGTTAACACTTAATTTCTAAGCAGCCAATCACATGGCGGCAACTCAGTGCATTTAGGCATGTAGACATGGTCAAGACAATCTCCTGCAGTTCAAACCGAGCATCAGTATGGGGAAGAAAGGTGATTTGAGTGACTTTGAACGTGGCATGATTGTTGGTGCCAGAAGGGCTGGTCTGAGTATTTCAGAAACTGCTAATCTACTGGGATTTTCACGCACAACCATCTCTAGGGTTTACAGAGAATGGTCCGAAAAAGAAAAAACATCCAGTGAGCGGCAGTTCTGTGGGCGGAAATGCCTTGTTGATGCCAGAGGTCAGAGGAGAATGGCCAGACTGGTTCGAGCTGATAGAAGGGCAACAGTGACTGAAATAACCACTCGTTACAACCGAGGTATGCAGCAAAGCATTTGTGAAGCCACAACACGCACAACCTTGAGGCGGATGGGCTACAACAGCAGAAGACTCCACCGGGTACCACTCATCTCCACTACAAATAGGAAAAAGAGGCTACAATTTGCAAGAGCTCACCAAAATTGAACAGTTGAAGACTGGAAAAATGTTGCCTGGTCTGATGAGTCTCGATTTCTGTTGAGACATTCAGATGTTAGAGTCAGAATTTGGCGTAAACAGAATGAGAACATGGAACCATCATGCCTTGTTACCACTGTGCAGGCTGGTGGTGGTGGTGTAATGGTGTGGGGGATGTTTTCCTGGCACACTTTAGGCCCCTTAGTGCCAATTGGGCATCGTTTAAATGCCACGGCCTACCTGAGCATTGTTTCTGACCATGTCCATCCCTTTATGGCCACCATGTACCCATCCTCTGATGGCTACTTCCACCATGTCACAAAGCTCTAATCATTTCAAATTGGTTTCTTGAACATGACAATGAGTTCACTGTACTAAACGGGTCCAACCCGTTACTAGCATGGAGTACCTAATAAAGTGGCCGGTGAGTGTATATATATTATATTATATATAATATGTAAAATATATATTTTGTATAATACATCAAATGTTTAGTGCAGTATATTTACTTTACTGTAAACATAAACTTCTTCTTTACCCTAGGGCTGTATTCCAAAGTATTCATGAATTACAACCATTTTTAGAATGCATTTTCACCTCTTTACTCTAAGAGTTAACAGGTTAAAGGGAAATTTACTATCTGGGTTTATCTAGAATGCTTTTTTCTCTGTAATAACTCCCTGTGGCCTGTAAGTTATACAGAGGACTTTCTAATTAAATTGAAAAAGAGGCAATTTAGATTAAATCAGTGCATCCAAACATCCAGGCATAATGTTTTTTCCCCCTTTGCGAACGGTCTAGTGCGACTGAGAGTTCATCAGTCAATTGTACGTCTGGAAAGCTGCAAACAGGAAGTGCCCTCTTGTGCTTTATCTGTAAGTTAGTGTGTAAAGGCATTGCCAAGGTTGATTGAGGTTCAGCAAAGCTAATTATTACATATGGAGTGATGTGTGTGAATATTCAGTTATGAATAAGTCATTTCTAATTTTGGAGTCCTGAAAGCCTATTTTACAGGTCTTTTGAATATTTGAGTGAGTGCAGAGTGAGTCGCTATCGCTGCGTGTTTTTTCTTCCTCTGCAGTTCCATGATGCTCCTAAACCGTATGAGGACATGTTAAAGTGGCTGAACATCATCTTCACGGCTCTCTTCACACTGGAGTGCATTCTCAAGGTCATCGCCTTCGGCCCTCTGGTGAGAGTGGAGAGATTCTGATAACATTTATCTTTCATCATTACAGTCAGTGTTTGATACTAAACTAGTTTCCCAATGCACAAAAATGTTTGGATCCGTTCACACAGCGCGGTTTTCCGTGAATGCGGTTGTGATTCCTGAAAATTTACAGGTGTGAGTTCGGTGATGTAATGCATTTGTCACTCCCGCAAATAATTACCTAGTTCTGGCATGAAACTCTATATGACGTAGGCTGATAGGTCCTTAAATGAATAAGAAAATCCTGTCATCATTTACTCACCCTCAAGTTGTTTCAAACCTGTGTGAATTTATTTCATCTGCTGAACACAAAAGAAGATATTTTGAAGAATGTCGATAACCAAACAGTTGATGGACCCCATTGACTTCCATAGTATTTTTTTCCCTACTGAGCGTTTAGATTAGGGTGGATAGGGCAACTCTTGGGCAGAATAAACTGGTAGGCTAGTTTGACCCAAAGTTGAGAGGAATGAAGTATGAATGACTGATTTGAGTGAAAAAGCGGTGCTCTGTCGGTTGATTGACCAGCCTACAGGGCCATCAGCAGCGCAAGAACTGTGAAATCAGTGAGAGGCTAATGACGGCCCTGTGGGTGAGAAGAATGTGTAAGTATGAGTGTGGTTGTGTGTACAGTATGAGCAATGCATCATAAATCTCTCTTCAGTGCCGGATGGTCTGACCTGCAGCAGAAGGTCTCATCTCAAGCTCCATTTCTATTTATGAGACTCATTTATTAAGAAGCTTTTCTGGTGCGTGACGCTTACGTTTACCTCCACCTGTTTGGAGCCCAGGGTTGATGAATGGGTCTCGCTCATGTTGTTCTGTCCGCGATCCATGTCTAGCAGCAGTCGACTAATCTTTGCGGCGTTCATGAGAGACATGGACCCAAGGCTAAGACACCTGACAGACCGTCCTGCCATGAAAGATCTATTACATGACTCACCAATGTCTGCATTTTAGGCTGCCTGTTTTTGTCTGCCACATTGTCCTCACTAGAATAGTAAAAGCTTTTAAAACTGACTAGGGTTTCACAAGTAAAATCAGTCCATACTTAACCTAAATCGATCTAAAAATGCCCAAATATGTCTCTAATGATTAGGAATAAGTGTATATTTAAAGTGGGGTCATTATAAATGATTAATTCACAAAATGTAGCTCTGCTGAAAATCTACTACAGTACCTACTGTACATCAACACATCCCTTTTAACCCAGCATTATGACCGAAATCAAATCTCAAAAGTGACTCATTTTGAATGACAGAAACTCCACATGGCACATAAATAACACTTTTTACGGGAGATTTGTCTAATTCAACTGATTTCATCAGAGTTGCATATTTTTCTCAATGTTTGCAGAATTACCTGAAGGAGGCATGGAACATTTTTGACTTTGTTACTGTTCTGGGGAGCATCACAGACATTCTGGTTACTGAGATCAAGGTGAGTCATCAAAGAAACACATCAAAGTTTTTGAGAACCAAAATTCAAAGGTATTTAAAAGTAAAATCATTTTAAATCTCAACACATATATGATAGATGTTATAAAGTATGTAGCTATCTTATTGCAGTGGATGTTCCAGATGAGAAACTTTTGAAGCTTAACTTTGTCTCTTTGTGAGCTTTCAGCGTTTATTTTTTGTGTCGCAGTTGTGTTGCTCTTTTAGTCTGCTTTCAGTTTGTCTTTGGTTAAAATCGTGGGGACAGGGTTCCATTGAAAACCTGGAACTATTTGGAAACATTTTAAATGGTCAAAAGTCATGGATTTTTTCCTAAATATCTTTTAAAAATATTTAAAAAAAGGTTTTCTCATTCTGCTCAGCCCTAAATAATATTTTATATTAGTTTAGGACTATATATATATATATATATATATACACTCACCGGCCACTTTATTAGGTACACCTGTCCAACTGCTCGTTAACACTTAATTTCTAAGCAGCCAATCACATGGCGGCAACTCAGTGCATTTAGGCATGTAGACATGGTCAAGACAATCTCCTGCAGTTCAAACCAAGCATCAGTATGGGGAAGAAAGTTGATTTGAGTGACTTTGAACGTGGCATGATTGTTGGTGCCAGAAGGGCTGGTCTGAGTATTTCAGAAACTGCTAATCTACTGGGATTTTCACGCACAACCATCTCTAGGGTTTACAGAGAATGGTCCGAAAAAGAAAAAACATCCAGTGAGCGGCAGTTCTGTGGGCGGAAATGCCTTATTGATGCCAGAGGTCAGAGGAGAATGGCCAGACTGGTTCGAGCTGATAGAAGGGCAACAGTGACTGAAATAACCACTCGTTACAACCGAGGTATGCAGCAAAGCATTTGTGAAGCCACAACACGCACAACCTTGAGGCGGATGGGCTACAACAGCAGAAGACTCCACCGGGTACCACTCATCTCCACTACAAATAGGAAAAAGAGGCTACAATTTGCAAGAGCTCACCAAAATTGAACAGTTGAAGACTGGAAAAATGTTGCCTGGTCTGATGAGTCTCGATTTCTGTTGAGACATTCAGATGTTAGAGTCAGAATTTGGCGTAAACAGAATGAGAACATGGAACCATCATGCCTTGTTACCACTGTGCAGGCTGGTGGTGGTGGTGTAATGGTGTGGGGGATGTTTTCCTGGCACACTTTAGGCCCCTTAGTGCCAATTGGGCATCGTTTAACCCCCTGGGGTCGGCTATCGCGCCGGCGCGATAGGCAGACTTTTTTTCTTATCAGTGCAAAAGAGACTCAAAATACTCTGTTGATTTTAATCTTACATGTAAGTGTTATACATCAGTCGATCCTGTTTAGTGTATATTATTTTTCTGTATACTCACAATAAAAACAAAGTGTTGTGCTTTTTGTCAAATGAAGAAAAATAAACATGATGCGAGTTTTGCCTTCTCTCTGTCAGTGCAGTCCATTCTGAAACGCGTCCGAAAAATTAACTCTAACTCTGCAAATACTTGTCACACAGGCACGAGAGATTTTTCTTTATGAAGCTTGAATTCTCTTCTTTTCAATGAAGTAATTTATATAAAAAACAAATATTCTCAGTTTATGTAATCTGTATGAAAAGAGAGTGCTGTCAGAATTTTTTTCCCCAGCTCATTACACTTCATTACGCGTTAATCTGACACGCCCACGGAGAACGCGCGCTATTCAAACGCAAATGTAGAGGAAAGCCATGACAACGCCCACATCAGCCGTTCCACCGCGGCGGTAAAATGTGGGGTGTATTTGCTACCTTTTACCGCTAAGAGGCGCTACAATCATAGACTCTGAAAAGTGTTCGTTTATTCTCTCTAATGCGTAATCTGCTGCTCATTCAGAGCGATTGAAAGCTGGTAGCAGATGAATTCAACAAGTGAAACGTAGTTAAAATAATTCATTACCACAATACTTTAACTCTAACAGCGTACAAACGGTGGCTCAGTGATCAACGCATCAACACGAGCTTCAGGGAGCTTCAATCGACCCGAGATCGAATCTCAATGTGGCATACATGTTGTTAACCGATGTTGGCCAACAGCGTTTATATTTTACCTTCTTGATGCTTAAATAGCTAACTGTTTATAACTGTTTACTTATTTAAAGTCAAGAGTTTTGTTTAATTATCATTACAACATAAATTTGCTACATTCCAGTAGAACCGCAGCCGCTGCACAAAGGACACAAACTGATGAAGGAAGATTGTCAGCCGATTGCATCAGAAAATGAAAATGAAGAAGCTCGTCTTTAGTCTGCTAAATTATTGTGTAATGTAAAAGAACACTAAAATTACTTAAGTTTGAAACCAAGTTCGAACATTTCAAGGTTTAAATAAAGTGTTTTTTTTTATTTAAAACAGGGTTGCATCGGGTTTAGAGTTTATTTCTTTTGCGATGCAAAATAAGAAACACTAGGCTAATATTATTCTTGCGACATTTTAAATTTGTATTGCCAAATAAATGACATTAAACAATTAAAACAGTAGGCCTACAAAACGAAAATTGTCCAAAGCAACATAATTAAATTAAAACATGCGTTTTTCTTTGCCTCTCTCGCGCTGAATCTCTTTTTAACAAGTTTATTTAGTCTCCCTCGCTCTCCATATGAAAGAGGAACATTAACACCTAGGCCTATTGTCCTGCGCGCACAGCACTGAACTGTCCCCCAACCCCCCACAGGCTATCGGAGTCTGAGGCTGATTTAACACAAAGAGAAGTCGTAATTCACACTTAAATCGCTATTCTAGACAGTGTTGATAATGAAGGAATTAAATGATTTAAGTTACATGTAGCCTAGTGAATTTTCTGTCATAAAAGTTTATTACTAAATATTTCATTATTTCAATAATTGATGAAATAAAACTGGTTTGGGCCAGCTTTTTCCAAGCAAAACTAAATATAATCTGAAAAAACGCATGTTCATTTGTTGTCATGAACAAAATGTTCAACTTAATATTAAATTCTACAGGGATCTTTGGATCCTTTCAACCAGGCATGCAATTTGTGAATTAAGTTTTTATTATTTTTTTTATTATTCAAATAAATATCGAACCACGGTGCTTCGTGGTAATGCTGCTAAATTAAATAACATGTAGGCCTATAGAATAATTATGAACTTAAATGAAACAATATCGCAACATTTCGACAAATACATTATTTGATCTGTTTTTACATTTTAATTCAGGGCGATTTAGCCTGCTACATTTCATTAGAGCGAGATTTTCACCCTTGTCATTTTCTCATTGGGAAGCGCTTACATAGGCTACATGTTTGAGTAGATCCTCTGTACCTCTCGTTTTCATATGGATTACATAATCAGATAACATTTATTAGCCTGAATATTTAGACATTTAAAGGCATTAGACAGAGCCGATTTCTTATAGTGACTGAGCTGAAGTGGCTTTCGGTTCATTTTTGTGACGCGCAGTTCCCGGAGACAGAGACGACAGATAAACTTTTGTCGTTAGCAAAAGTTCGAATAAAACCCGATTTTAGAAAAATGCATAGGGCCACTCGGCGTGGTCTGCCAAAACACTTAATTATAAACTTCAATATTTCATTCAAAATAATCTCAAAACGCTTTGTGAAATTTTGAAAAGCCGTGCATGCATTAAGGCCACTTGAACTAATGAACAACTGAAACGCTGGTTTTGATTTTATTGTTTGTCGTTGTTTAAACGTGCTTGTTCTGTTGCATATCTCTATTTTATATTTGATATGGTCTATTGGTGAAGTAGCCTATAGCATTGATTACTGTGGAGGGAGGGGTGTGGGGATTCAAATAATTCAGCAGAAGCAGGGATGTTTAGACCAGAAGGAAATCCCCGTCCCCCTGGCAAATCACACTTTACTTAAAACCATGTTTTTAAAAACTCTAGGTTGTAGGGAATCAAAAAAATAATAATAATAGGCCTAATAAAATATATATATATATATATTGGCTATATATATAAAATTACTTTTTTTACAGAACTGCTTTTGAAATTACGATTGGCCTCATACGATTGGTACAGATGCAAAGTCGTTCTGTTGGATACTATTGTTCCTTAGTGTAAAATGGAAATGCATGGTAATTTTATTTTATAAATATAAGCAAAAAACTGTATGGTGTACCAGAG